GGCCCCTGAAGACATTCACTCAGCCCAACACCAGGCCCATTAACCCAGAAGAAACAGTAACACTTCTGAGTCAAGAGGGTCAGCCAGCCCCAGAAAATGTTCGCCCAGCGCTCTCAGGGCTGCGGCTGTGGCCCTAATTATCTCTCCTGGAGGAGCAGGCTCTGCCGGGACCCTGTAGAATGTTAGGAGCCCTGGTGCCCCTGGGTATGCTTTCTCAAGGACCGGTGTCCCCCATGACATCCCCGACTACAAAAGACCAAGACGAAAATGAGCCTGGAACCCGTCCCCCTGCACGGAGGCAGCCTCAGTCCCATGATGTGACGGCCAGGGAACCACACAGTCAAGCCACACTGCCCACCTGGCCTTTCTCAGTCCTCCAAAAGCTGGGGTGGTACAGTTTAATTGTTCATAGAGGCAGCAAGTATCCATCGAGTGCCTCCTATGCGCAAGGCACAGGGATCCAGCTGGAAGCAGAAACACTCTGCCCCTGCCTGGCTTAAAGTTCTTGCAAGCTAATTCCTAGCCTCCTCCTCTGCTTTCCTGATAGCATCCACCAACATGGCCTGGCCACCCCTAAACCACCTGTACCCCAGGAGTGGGTGACACAGTGACAAGTGGCAATCCTCAGTTGGCCTGTGCCACACCCTGTCTCCCCTGAGTGGCTTTTCCCTCCCTTTACTAGGCCTTATGTTCTTCAGGCAGAGATCCTGTCATTTGGCCCCTTCATCCACAAATGATTAGATCCCCAACATGCCTTTGTGGATGAAGCAGAAACAGGACAGTCCAGAGCTGGGGGTGTGTGTTTCCCTGGTGAGCAGAGCAAGCTGCCAACAGCCCCAGCAGCCACCAAAGTGGTGTGGCTGTTTATTTTTTTCTTGAGAACAAAGCACGCTTCTGGGTTCTGACACACACCCATAGACTGCTGGGCACAGTGAATTCAAAAGTTCATCAGAGCCCACTTGGATTTCCCCTACAGGAAGGCTCAACCTGTGTTCATGGGAATGAAGAACTCAGCCACAGAATAGCCTCCATCTTTCCATTGCCCCAAGGTGAATTAGGCAGCTGCTGCATGTGGGGCAGTGAGGACAAGGACACAGCAGGGAGTTCAAGCAGCATTGCCATGGTCATCTCCACATACTCCGGGGGGGTTGGAATAGATCTCCGTCTTGACCTTGGCACCAGCCTCTGGGACTCTAGGTCCATTGAGTGGGATAGGGCAGGGGTAAACGACAGGGAGTCCAGCTAAGCCTCCTCTTAGAGCAAACCCCGCCCCGTGGTCCTCTCAACCCTCAGTGCCCCCAGTGTTTCCTCCTTGAGCAGCTGGGTCCAGACATCCCAGGCGCACCTGCAGCCCAGGCGCTGTGCGTGGTGCTAATGGCTATGGCTGCCAGACTTCCCTTGGCAGGAAGGAATCGGGTTTCAGAAATCCAAGAATCAGCTCATGCTCCCTGGCTTTGATGTGAGGCCACTCTCTGTGGAGACATCAGATTTTCCACACGCACCTCTCTCCAGGCTCACCCCTGCTCAAGAGACTTCCTGTCTGGCCAGGTCTCTCTGACTCCAGTAGCTTACCTCTCTGTGCACCTACCCACTCCCCAACACACAGGCACACACACTCACTTCCCATGAAGCATGGCTACAGTGAGGTCACCACTACAGTCAATTTTTTAAAAGATTTTATTTATTTATTTGAGAGGTAGAGTTCCAGACAGAGAAAGAGAGAGACAGAGAGATCTTTCATCTGCTGGTTCACTCCCCAAATGGCCGCAATGGCCAGAGCTGGGTCAATCCAAAGCCAGGAGCTTCATCCAGGTCTCCCACATGAGTGCAGGGGCCCAAGCACTTGGACCACCCTCCGCTGCTTTCCTAGTCCATAAGCAGAAAGATGGATGGGAAGAGGAGCAGTCGGGACACAAACCAGTGCCCATACAGAATGCTGGTGCTGCAGGCAGAGGCTCTACCCACTGCACCACAGCACTGGGCCCCACTACAGTCAATTTTACACCCATCCAGGAGATAGAAAAATCAAGCACAAGGCTAATAACACAGCTTGGACAATATAAAAAGGGCTTCCTCCAAACCTGAGTCACAATCGGCATTTTCTTGTTTTGTATCATACCGTGAGCTCCTGATCCCAGCAGACTCTCTTGGGATGGGCCTGGAGCACCACAATTAGACAGCCACCCAGTGGGCCTAATTTGGGGGTCATCAGGAATCAGGAAAGTCTCCATCCCCAGGCCCTGGTCCCAAGGGAGTCCTTTCTGGGGACAAGGCAGCACTTCCCAAAGGGTTGATCATCTTTGAAAGAGAAACATATTTTGGGTAACACTGATTTTGAAAACTCTAGTTCAGAAATATATTGTTTGTTTCACTGATGAACTTTGACCATGCCCATAGTCATTGCGTTATTCTCCCTGATGTATTTGGCCAGATTTTATATGCTGGTAGAACCTTCTTGTTTTTGACTAGCCGTGCTGCCCTGAGCCAGTTTCTGATGCTCCCTGTCCTGCTGTGTCCTCACCTGTGGATTTGGGATCAGAGTGGCACCCACTTGCTAGGGTCGTCATGAATGTTGAGAAAACATGTGGTGAGCTCTTTGAGAAGCAGCTGGCATGTCGTGAGCCCTGGAAAGCCATTGCCTCACATTCTCAGACATCCAGGGTGGAGGCACTGTCTCCCGAAGGCCTTCCCATAATGCCTTTCTGGAGCACGCTTTGAGGGAGAGGAGAGCCTTTGAAGCTTGTGCTTCAAAATGAAGACAAGGCATTTACATGACTGAAGGAAGCACTGCCCCCTGGGGACCTCAGTCAGCCCCAGTTCCTTAGCCCCACAGCTACTTCCAAGTCCTAAGTGGAGACACCTCATCTGCTCTCTCCTCTTCCTTTTGGAAGAGGAAGCAAAAATAGAATACAAATGTAGCATGGAAGCAAAAATGTAGTCACAGCTCGAGGCTGTGGGTTCAACACCCTCCCAGAAGAAGGGGATTCCTGCAGGGTGATAGTGATCCCCTCACGAGACCTAAGGCATGGAGAGTGGGACTGTGTTGGGGGACAGTTTATGTCAAACAGTGTCTCAAAGAGAGTTGGACATCATGGCTGCCTGCCCACCTTCCCAGGCACTAGTGTCCAAGCTCTCAGCTCCATCCTGTCCCCACCCACACCTCCCACACTTCCCCATCCTCCCAAACCCTTAATGGTCCCATTCAGCCCCTGTGTCACACAACAGAGCCATTCTCCGACAGCTGAACTCACCTACCCTCTGGCACCCTGTGTGAGTCTGCTTTCCATCACCATAACTAAAATGCCCAAGAGGAGCTACTTGGGGAAGAAAAAGGCTTTGGAGGTTCACAGTCCGAGATTGGGAAGCACCATTGATTCAGGCATCCAGTGAGGCGACAGGATGGTGGAGGGGCAATTACAAGAAAGCCAGGAAGCACAGAGACCCAGGGAGACCCAGCTCAGCCTTCATAACCAACTCCTCTTACAAGATCCAGCTCCCAGGGCATGATCCCCACAACCTAAATACCTCCCACTAGGCCCACTTCCTAGACACCATAATAGATCAAGTCTTCACTCTTAATCCATCAACCGTTAACATCAGACTCAAGTGATCAAGCCACCAGTACGTGAGCCTTTGCAGGGCACCCGATCTACTATCCAAACCACAACACTGTCCCCAGAGGAGAGCAGCCTATTTGGTCACTAACACTTGATCTGAATCAGTGCAATCGAAGTTTTCTGAATGACAGGCCACATTCGGTGCAGCCTTGGAGCTGAGAACTGGGGATCCATGTAGGGTGACCCGAGACAGGTGGCCTCATGATGCAAAAAGCTCTGGTGCCAGAGCTCAGCTCAGATCCTGTCCTCTTGCTGCAGGTGACAGTCACTCTGAGCCTGATCTTCCCTGTCGAGTCAATGGGATAGTGTCATCTCACATGGATGAGCCAGTGAGATCACGTGGTCCAAGTGCCTCTCATCTGGAGCGGCATTTAGCCTAGTGGTTAAAGCACTGCCCAGGCACTGCAGGCAGCAGTTTCACCCACGATGCCACAGCGTTCGTAAAGCTGCTCCTGCTGTGCCAGCATCCCCTATGGACACCAGTTCGTATCCCAGAAGCTCCTCTTCCCATCCAGCTCTTTTCCATGGCCTAGGAAGGCAGTAGAAGATGTCCCAAGTGCCTGGGCCCCTGCACCCATGTGGGAGACCTGGAAGAAGCTCCTGGCTCCTGGCTTCGGATTTGTCCGCAACAGCCACTTGGGGAGTGAATCAGCAGATGAAGATTTATCTCTGTCTCTCCCTTTCTCTCTCTGTGACTCTGCTTCTCAAACAAATAAAGAAATCTAAAAAAAATTTTAAAACACAGATTGTCATGGCATAAATGTGTTTTGAAATATTTTGTTAATCATAATTTTTAAACGATTTTCTTTGTAACCTTTGGTAATTTATTTTATGCACATGAAAGAATCATCCAGAGGACAGCCCTGAGGTTACTGGGGACTGTAGTCCAAGCCAGCTGACACATAAAACTGCTCCCTCAACCCACTAAGAAGAGAGGGTTTTTGGGAGGAGGGTAGTTGGGGGGGGTAATTGTGGACCCCTCAGTTAATTCCCCCAGGGCACAGTATGGCCAGATCCACCTCTCATTCGGGGCCTTGCCCAGGGCTCTGCCCCTCCCCTCTCCTGTGTGGGCCATCTGAGTCCCTTCAGGGTGGTCTATGCCCTGAAGCAGCCCCTCCTGGCATGAGTGGCAGCTGGAGGGACAGAGCCCCCGCCCCCCGGAAGTAAGTACACAGCCGGTGCAGCGATCACCTGGTGTGCCCCAAGGCTCTCGGGAGGCAGTTTGGGGAGAGGGGTCAGCTGGGCTGGCTCGGCCTGGTCTGGGCCAGAACCTTGATTCGGACTGACAGAGGGTCTCTTAGCTGGGGACATTGTGAAGACACAAAAGTGTGTTTTCAGCATCACGGCCCTTCCCCCTGCGCTGAGAAAATGGACAAGGCGGCGTTTCAGCTACAGCACGTGGGATGTCTATCTCCATAGCCAAGGACAGTGCCTGCTGACTTCCACCTGCTGCCCCGGTGACCCAGGGTTTCCGGCACATGTCACGTCCAGCCTGGGATTCACATTGGCATGAGGCCCTCCACTTCCTGTGTTTAGCACCCCCTGGTGGCAGCGGCCCCTCATGACTGCCTAGAGCATTCTGGCCCAGGTTCAGGTAGGTTAAGCCAGGGAAGGGGTCCCAGAGGAAAGAGGCCACCCCATCTGGGCTTTGTACGTCAGAGGATGGAGAAAGGAAGAGATTTCCAGCCTCAGAGGCAAAAGCAGGAGGGCACCACGGAGAGTGGGTGCTGACCCTTGCAGGCTGGAAAAATATTGGGGTGCAGGATTGTGTCCAGGGGTAGAAATGAAGGGAGAAGGCAGGACAAGCATGAGAGAATCTGTTGAAAATGATGCAGGTGGAACATGCCTTGGTCAAACCCTGTGACCCCCTGGGTGCTCATGAATTAGGAAGCTGGGTGTCAGAGCTCTCAGGACAGTGGGGCTTTCTGTCTGGAAGGACTCCCGCCAGGTCTCCATTCATGGGGTTCAGAAGGCGGCCTTCAGGCACAAAGAAACTCAATGGTGATAGGAAAGCTCAGCGAACTGGAAGAAACCTGGGCTGGGAGACCCTACTCACACCCAGCACAGGTGCACTGGCGGCAGGAAGGAGGCCACTGCCCCAGCTGCAACTGTGTCCAGGGCGGGGTTGATCAGAGCCTCCACAAAGTCGTGAGAGACCCCACTGCTTCCCCTGGCCCCCAGCAGAACTCCAGCCTTCACCCATCTCTCTAGTCTCCCAGCCCCTAGGCCCTGCTGGGACTGAGAAGAGGAGTAACAGCTGGCCTGGCCCCTGATCCAGACTCCATTCCCATCTCAGCAGCCTGGCCCTGCCTCCTGACATCCCAAAAGACCCAGGGGTGAGTTCTCCCATGGCCCTTTAACCTCTCTCCCATATCCAAGTCTACCTCCTTTTCCAGGAGCATGAACCCGCTCCCTCCTTCCCCATCTCACACTCCAGCCCCATTTGTGACATTCACAGTCTGGGATCCCTCACTCTCTGCCCTTCCAAGACAAGACCAGCTTTCAGAAGTGTTGTGAATTTGCAGACTCTGAAAGAGGCCGGAGAAGGCAGAGTTTAAACCAGGGACTGGACCTCAGATGGTGGCAGCCAGACACTACAGAACAATGCTTACATGCAAAGGGACCAGGCCTGCGGGGGATGGGCAGGGAAGACATGTGGTGGAGTCCACACGCACACTTTAAGAGGGGCCCAAGCACCCCTCCCTTCCACTCTGTGCCCCCAGGACTCAAAACCAGGCCAGTCCACTGGGCTGCAGTCTGCCGACCAGGCCCATCAAGGCTCCCCATGTGTCCGAAGCCTTCAGGCCCCTGCTTGCAATGGCCAGAGAGCCCGGCCAGCCCTTGCCAGCCCTCTGCCCACCCTGGGCCCTGCTCAGAGGACAGGGCTGAACTGATTCTGTCAGGAAGGGTTAGTCTTGTCTGCAGGCTGGCTGGATGCGAGGGCACGAGACAAATGCATTCGGACAGCCCCCATCCAGAGCGCTATGTGTCAAACGTGCTGGCCACCTCGCTGGGAACATTCTGCAGGCTCCTTCCAACGTGGCTTGAGAAGGCTGGCATTGCAGGGGCCTGAGGCTTCAGGGGAAAGAGAGGAGAAGCCGGGTGCCTGCGAGCCGTGGGCGCCTGCGGGAAGGGTGTCGGACCGGCTGTCTCCAGGCCCCAGCAAACAGGCTAACAGCCAGGCTTTCTCCTGCTCCAGGTGGAGACCGATCCGACACCTGATTCCTGGATAATCCCAGCAGCAAGACCTCACCTGCCTGTTGGGTGGATGAAGAGAGAGCTGACGCCTAGGTGGGCACCCACACGCTTCCTGCACAGATAAGCGGGCAGAGCAGCCAGCAGCAGGCATGGTGGATGAGTGACGGGAATGAAATCCACCAGTCTGGGAGCCTCCCATGGGTGAGCAGGCACTGGGCTACTCCAGGAGGCGGAGCCCGCCGGCACCCACGTGACTGCCATGCCCTCATTCCCCAGTTGCCCACTGGCTCCGGCCCTGCCGCAAAATGCCTGGACCAAAAACTTCGCCGAGGTGATGGAATCTCATTAATGAGGATTTCCATGCACCGAGTCATCTTGGGGATGTGACAAATCAGAACATCCCACTCTGGCATCAGGAAAAGGGCTTTCTCACCAATGAGCGCAGCACAGTGGAGGCTGAGGCCAGGAACAGAGGAGGCCACAGGTCTGCTTAACCCAAACAGGCCAGAGAGTGCAACGGAGCCCTTATTCCTGGTCCAGCCCAACCTCCAACTGCCTGTGTGGCTTCACAAGGTGAGGCATTCTGTGAGACTCCTCGGGCACGCATTCAACAGTTCTGCCCAAAGACAATTTGGGAGCAGGTGCAGCCAGCTCTCCTAATGCCACCACTTTCTGTGTGTTCATCTCTGAAACAGCCAGAGCGGCGGCACAGGGCAGGAGGTGGGTGCAGGTGGCAGGTGCACCCTCAGGCAGCGATGGGCACCCAGTCAGATGCCTCAACTTGGCATTCAGGACCCTCCACTTCAGGGACACCTGTCTGCCAAGCTGAAGGGAGGGCTTCCTGGGGTCCCCTGAAGGAAGTGCTTGCTCCAGTGTATCCCCGCCACAACAGGAGGGTGCTGTGCACCCCCACAGCCTTTCTCTGTCCTTTCCTCTGCTGACTTTGCCATCAATGCCCCCCACCAGCAGGCCTTCAAGGCTGCATCCCCCATAAAATCTGGCCAAAGAGTAGACTTGGGAACCTTTCCCCAAACCCCTGTCCCCATAACCCAGGGCAGCAGCACTAGGAGTGACAGGCAACTTGGCGACAAGAACATGGGAATTAAGGAGTCCTAGGCCCTGTGGCCTGGCCCAGCCTCCTGGGCACTGACCAGGTCTCACAAAGGCTCCCAGACCCCATCAAGCCCACACTCAAGACTGAAAAGGGAGTGGGCACTTAGCCTAGTGGTGAAGACACCATGTCCCACACCTGAGTAACTGGATTTCATTCCCAGCTCCGGCCCCTGACTCCAGCTTCTAGCTAATGTAGACCCCGGGAGGAGGCAGTGATGGCTCAAATTACTGGATTCCTGCTATTGTGGTGTAGTGGGTAAAGCCGCCACCTGCAACACCAGCATCCTATATGGAAGCTCGTTCTAGTCCCGCTGCTCCACTTCTGGTCCAGCTCTCTGCTGTGGCTTGGGAAGGCAGTAGAAGATGGCCCAGGTCCTTGGGACTCTGCACCTGTGTGGGAGACCTGGAAAAACTCCTGGCTCCTGGCTTTGGATCAGCCCAGCTCTGGCTGTTGCAGCCATTTGAGGAGTGAACCAGTGGATAAAAGACCTCTGTGTGTGTGTGTGTGTGTGTGTGTGTCTGTAACCCTGACTTTCAAATAAAAATAAATAAATCTTAAAAAAAAAAAAAAAAAGAGGAACCAGCACTGTGGTGTAGCGGGTAAAGCAGCAGCCTGCAGAGCCAGCATCCCATATTAGCGCCAGTTCAAGTCCCGGCTGCTCCTCTTCCGATACAGCTCTCTGCAAGGCCTGGGAAAGCAGTAGAAGATGGCCCAAGCCCTTGGGCCCCTGCACCCACACAGGAAGACCCAGAGGAAGTTCCCGGCTCCTGGCTTCAGCTCAGCTTCGCCTTGGCCATTGTGATCACTTGGGGAGTGAACTGGTGGATGGAACATATCTCTCTCTTTCTCTCTCTGTTACTCTGACTTTCAAATCAATAATCTTCTATAAAACAAAACAAAAAAAGCACTGGAGCAGGTAAAAAACAACATCCATCCCATTTGGGCATTGGTTTGAGTCCTGGCTGCTCCACTTCCCATCCAGCTCCCTGCTAGTGGCCTGGAAAAGCAGCGGAAAATGGCCTGAGTTTTTGGGCCCCTGCACCTATGTGTGAGGTCCAGAAGAATCTCCTGGCTCCTGGCTCCTGGCTTTGGCCTGGCCCAGCCTTGGATTTTGTGGCCATTTGGGGAGTGAACCAACAGACCGAAGACCTCCCTCTCTCTCTGTATATCTGCCTTTCAAATAAATAAAATAAAACTTAAAAAAAAAAGCATCGGAAGCCACACTTTCTCTCCTTCCACCTACCTACACCAGGCCTGTCCTCATAGTCAGGGCTCTGAGAAGGAAGATCCAGCTACAAACGAGAGTCGCTTCCGGAAGCTGCAGGCCCTACAAACAGGTTAATGATCTTGCAGCTGCACCTTGAGTGGGAGACAGAACTCAATGCACCCCCACCACACCAGCTGCCCCCAGGCACAGCCCCTCTCAATGGTTTCCCTCCAGGAGAGAAGGAGCTGCAGGTGGGAGAGTAAGGAGAGCCCTCACGTGCTCCACCTGCTTCCCCGAGGCCCGCAAGCTCCTCGGAAGGTAGCTTTGGCAGCTGCTTCCCGAAGAAGCAAATCCGTGTGCAGAGACTGCCTAATGATATGCAAAGGCTCCTTGAGGCTCTCCAGCCCGTCGTTAGCTCAGAGGTGTCATTAATACATAAATTATGCTCCTGCAGACTCACAAACGCCCAGGAAAAAAAATACAAAAAATATAATTAGTTTGCCCATAGGACTCCATCTGTCAGCTCAACCTCGCAAAGCAAATCCCGAGGGCCTTGGTGACCACGCTGGCCACACCGGTGCTGCTCCTGCCCTGCTCCGCTGAGCCGGCCTCTGAGGTGGCTGCAGAGAGCCCAGGGCTCTGTGGGCCGCACGTGGGACCGGGAGCTGGTGCTCCTGTGTGGCCTGGGCAGGAGGCTGTGGAGGGGAAGACAGCCAGAGGGCATTTGCATGTGAATCTTCCAGCCACCTCCTTGTCTGGGAAGAACAGGACATGGGAGCAGTGGGAACAGAGCGTGGGAATGGGCCTAAGGAGACTGGCCTCCGCCTTCACCTGTCATGGCTGCCGCACGCTCCCCGGGGGAAGAGAAAGGCTGGGAGAGGAGAGAGGGCACAGCCTGGGAAGGCACCAGGGAGAAGGAAGAAGACCAGGGCCAGAACTACAGGTGGAGTGGAATTAATACACACACACACACACACACACACACGAGTGCCAGGGCCCCTGGCATGCAGTGTGTCACTTGATATTCAGAGAATATCAAGGAGAAACAAATGGTTTTTCTTCTCTTGCAAATAATAAATGTATTTTGCAAAACAAATGCATCTTTAAAAAAAAACATCTGAGTGAGACATGAGACTATGAAGTGGGAAAGCACCCACGTGCTTCTCCCCCTCACGCTCGGTCCCCCAGGGTGGCTGTCACTCATGAAGGGCTGTGTCCTTTAAAGCTCACTAACATCTAGTGCAGTAATTATAGACAGGGGATGGCCCTGTCTGTGCTGTCTGACGTCTTCTGCGCTCTCTCCTCGTCCCCGGGCACCGAGCCGGGCACACCTCCCGAGTTAGGGCACACAGCTCCACCTCACTCTTTTCCATCAAGGCGCACTGCTCCCGCCCAGGAAATGCTCGCCACACATCTTACTGATGCTCACGCCTCCGTTCCTGTGGTCTCCTGTGGATGGATGTCTGATTTCTTTCTAGAATTCCACCCTTATAAACAATGCCAGGGAGTTAGTTACGGCTGGCATCGTTTTTCTTATGTTAGAAGATGGAAATAAAACAAGATTTAGGGGATCAAGTGACTTGCCTGGGGTTACACAACTGGGATGTGCAAACTCTACTTCGGATTCACTTCTGACTCCGTCTCTAGTCTCTGTTCATGGAGTGAAGGGAAGATGGGGCAGGAGAGGAGAGAGGGGGTGGGGACAGGAGAGGAGAAGAGGGAGGAGGGGAGAGATGGGAGGCAAGAAGGGGCCATAGGAGAGAGGGAAGGGGACCAAAGCTGGGGTAGTAAGAGGGGCAGCACACCGTCATCCCAAATTCTTAAAAGCCACACTTGCTAAGGTAGTTGCTGGCAATGTTGCACACTAATTATGAGCCCAGGCCAGTCTAGATCACCCATCCAGAGTGGTGGAGGCTCTGGCTCCTCAAGCACTGTGGGGGTCTCCTGTCTTCACCTCCTACTCTCTGGCCTCAGCTGGCCCTGTGGCTCCTGCCCCTGACTCCACAGGAGGGGCCCCCTCCTCCCAAGGACCCTGGGACCTCCAGGGAAACCAGACGCAAAGCACAGGCTCCAGACACAAAGCACAGGTTCTGAGCGCTGCACCCTCCCTCCACATCACATGGCACACCGGGGCAAGGGGACAGAGGGCCTGCCTGGGGACACCCACCATGTCCAGCCCTGCTCCAAGGGGACCTTGGTCTCACCCACCCAGCACCTCCCAGAACCCTCGATGGCATTGGTCACACACCTTTCCCAGTACTTCAAGCATGCAAGCTATTTATTTTCCCAAATGAACTAGAGCATAGATAAATACATCATATATATTAGTAAGCACCCACAAAGTTACCCATTTAAAAGAAGAGGATAAAAGCAAGAAATATGCATTTCAAGGTTATGTTTTAATTTTACTTGTTAATGGCACCCAATAAAAGCCTTCTCACGTTCTCGCTAAAGTATGGGGATAATGACATTGCTGGTGAGAGCAAGGGTTTTGACAGTGTCAGATCAGATTAGTGAGTGGCTGGTTTTTCCCTTTCTTGTGCATTATGGAGAATCTCCTCCCAAGAGCTGAATGTCAGAGACGCACCGGCCAGGGCTCAGGGGAGCAGAAGTTGAGGTGCGACCCCTGCTCGCTGTGTGGGGATGTGCTCCTCTTCACCCACCGGAGTGCAGCGCAGCGGGGGCTCCAGTACGTGCGCGTGCTTGATGAGCTGTCTGGACACTGGTGATCAACTCTGATGCAGTCCCTCTCCCCTCCCTGAAGGCTGCATGAGGTCCCCAACCCCGGCACCCCTCCTGCCGTTACCTAGGAGTCCAGCCTTCAGTCATCTCGTTAGCATGAGAAGAACAGCACTTTGGAGAGTCCATGGGCAGTAAGAGCTGAGTGTCCAGAGGCGGCAGCGGACACCAACATGTGTGGTAATCACAATTTCACAGCCACTGTGGAACAAAACTCCTCCAGCCCCGGCAGAGCGTTCCAGGAGCCCAGCAACCTCGAGACACACCCCAAGGCAGGACCACCCAGCTGAGCTGCAGCAACGTCCAGTCTGTCAATCTGTCCGTGGGAGGCAACGTGTGATTATGGCTGCCCTAAAACACTAGGATTGGGGCCGGCGCCGTGGCGTAGAAGGTTAAGCCTCCTCTGGCCGGCGCCGCGGCTCACTAGGCTAATCCTCCTCCTTGCGGCGCCTGCACACCGGGTTCTAGTCCCCGTCGGGGAACTGGATTCTGTCCCGGTTGCCCCTCTTCCAGGCCAGCTCTCTGTGGAGGATGGCCCAAGTGCTTGGGCCCTGCACCCCATGGGAGACCAGGAGAAGCACCTGGCTCCTGCCATCGGATCATCACTGTGCGCCTGCCGCAGTGCGCCAGCCGCGGCGGCCATTGGAGGGTGAACCAACGGCAAAGGAAGACCTTTCTGTCTGTCTCTCTCTCTCACTGTCCACTCTGCCTGTCAAAAAATAAAAAAAAATAAAAAATATATTAAAAAAAGAAGGTTAAGCCTCCTCCTCCAGTGCCAGCATCCCATATGGACACAGGTTCATGTCCCAGATGCTCCAGTTCCAATCCAGCTCCCTGCTAAAGTGCCTGGGAAAGCAGTGGAAGATGCCCAAGTCCCTGGGCCCCTGCACCCAAGTGGGAGACCCGGAGGAGGCTCCAGGCTCCTGGCTTCAGATTGGCTCAGCTGGGGCTGTTGCAGCCTTTTGGGGAGTGAAATAGCAGATGGAGGATCTCTCTCTCTTTCTCTCTCTCTCTCTAACTCTGCCTTTCAAATAAATAAATAAGTAAATCTTAATAAAAAACACTAGGGTTGGGGTGATTTGTTACATAGTGTTACGTGATTTAAACATTTTAATTGCCTTCTTTTGGCAATTTGGGAACGGGGAACATATTCTGAGAAAGAGAACGCCCCAGTGAGCTGCGCAGAGCAGGCTGGATTTATAGGCAGAAAAGGGTTGAAGCGAGCAGAACAGGACAGAAATCAGATTGGTCACTGTAGCTCCTTTCCTTGTAAAGCAGCGAGGGCTTTGTCACCATGCCGACTGAAGCTGGCTAATCTCGCTCCATCTCCTGATTTCTCAGAGGGTCAGATTCACACATTGTTTGGGCCTGGGGATGTGAGACATTAGCATGACTGCCTCCATTTTGGTCCTTTGGGCCTCATGCAGAAACTCAGTCCAAACCAAAGGCCTCCTGTAAGTCGTAGCTAACAGGGAAATGTATGCTGTGCTGAGCTGGGCTCTGAAGCCAGGTAGTCCAATTCTGGAGCTCAAGCTCTTAATTATTTTACCAGTAGGGTCCCTCCATTCCAT